TCAGGTGGTCTATCGTAGTTTCAGATACATACAGAAGTAGCCAATAGAATTTAATACAGGCAGTTTCCTAAAGAGAATCAAAAGTACATTGTTCATCATTTTCACGCAACGTCATGCGCACACCGATGAACTTGGCTTCAATACCTACCTCGCTCAATCGCCTAGTCCGCAGCGGTGCTTTATCCGTGTATTTGTGATTCGTTGACTAATCGTTGGGATCGACGGAGCAATGCACGTTTCGTGAAATTGAAACTGTCGCTCACCGTTGACCAAGCTCGCTCATGCGAACCGATATGGGATGTCTGAAGTATGCCTCAGCTTCTTAGGGTTGCAGGTAAGCAGCGGGATAGGCTCCAACGAACACTGTAGTCTAGCTAATATCCATACTTCTGTATCTGAATGAGCAGATGGAATGTCCGCGAAAGCACAATCGGTTTCGTAGTTGTTGCAGCCCATCATGTACGTGTATCCAGCGCTCTGTCAGATGAGTTATACTCCAGATACGTTTCTCCCCAAAGTTCTTATTTACTTCCTTTGTGCGTATTTACTCGGTCACGTTTCCCTTAAACTCAATGAAGGGATTGTATGTTGATATACATTCATCCATTCCTGTACCCATTGTGTTCTTTTATTCTGTGCCAGCTGGATCGCGTGGACCATTTGAGCGGGTATCTCGCGGACGACAGTAAACTGATAGTGGCTGAACGCAACCTACAAACAGTTCAATCCCGACTGGACCAGGTGGAGCAAGAATATCAGGTAATCGTGTTTTCTGAACTACTCGGTGCATAACAACTAAGACCGGTGTACCAAAGTGCCCGGTTAATGTTTAGCATCTTGGCTATATCGATTGGAAATTTGTTTTAATTTGAGTGTCTCCAAAAGGGCGGTGGTGGCCAAGTGGTTAGGTGACCAACTAGTGACCTGGGTGTCCCGGGTTCAAACCGCGCCACCACCGTCCGTCTCCCCTATATCCGTATTTTCCTCAGGCAGCCAATGTATGGCCGCAGCCCCCTTTCCCGAAAGTTGACTGTACATTTGTATAATCAATAAATGAAAAAGAAAGTAAAGGACGTTTGTTATTATTATTATATAAGAGCATAGTCAGCACTTCCGACATGAAAAGATCATACACAGTACCTGTGGCCTGTAAGAATTGGATATGCCAATTCAAACAACATTCTGAGTTATTTTCACCTTAATCGACCTATTTACGTCATTCATTGATGGGAGTTTTCTTTTTTCTTGCATATGGTTATCAAGTTTTGCATATCGCTTCTTCTTCTACCTAGGTGCAGTGACAGCTTTTTAAATTTTTTTATAACACTCCCGTTTGTGATAAGCAGCATATGGGGTAAACACCCTAGTCATGATGAACGTTTTTCAGCCAAAGGCATGGAGTTGGGTGGGTCGCTCTCTCAGTCATTTTTCTCAACAGCACTAAAGCATAAACAAGAGCTTTTCACTCCGGTTAAGATAAACACGTCAAACTGGATCGCACTGTCTGATTCATGAATTTGATTTTTTTCTCATCATTCTTTTGCATTTGCTCTTTAGGCATTAATCGATGAATCTACCCAGTTACGTCGCAACCTGAGACAGTTGGATCACGAGAAAGACAGTTTACAAAACGCTCTGGATGAACGTACGGAACAATGCGCCATGCTCGAACGGGAAATGGCCAAACGTGAACGTCATCTTTTGGACTATCAGGTATGACTGCTAACACTTCGAATCTATACATAAATCGAAGTAAACAACCCTACGGTGCTTTCTTCCTAGGTAGGCTGAAGTATTTTCTCACCCGTTCTCGTTCCCACGAGGTGTTGAACATGAAAAATAAATTTTTGGATGAATCCGACCAATCCAAAATAACGACGTGGACTATACTGTAATGGTTCATTCTGCTCTCTGTCTATATACTCCAAATTGATGTGATACCTTTCAGTTTACCCATTGCTTTATGTGTTTTCCATCACCATCTTCTCCCTCGAATGTGGTTTTCGAAATCGATACACCCTCTAATCGCTTCCGTCATGTTCTCTTTGTGACCTTTTAGTTGTTTTGAAACTCACAGATCCGAATAAGCGGTCATTCTTGGTCCCACCAAATATCCGCTTTAATTCGCTGAATTCCTCTCCCCCCTCCCACACACACACGCACACATCCTTGCACTGTTTCACCATGTAGCGTTCCAGTCAAACATTCGAACAGCGTGTGCTTCGTCTAACCGAATCGGCTGCACAGCGCGATCAAGATTATCGACAGATGAGCGAACGTGCGGCACTACTCGAGTTGGAACTTAGTCAAACGAACGAGGCACGAAACCGGGTCACACGTGAACTGGAACAAACGAAAGTGAGTCTGTAAGCGGGCTCGTTCGTTTGCAACGGACATCAGACGGGAAAATCGTATATTGCGAAAGTACATACAATACTACACGCCATCAAGTCCTTCTTTCGCTTCCAATCTACTTTGTAAATGTTGTCGTGTTGTTATTTTTGTTTTTACTCATATATATATATATATATATATATATATATGNATGTATGTATGTATGTATGTATGTATGTATGTATGTATGTATGTATGTATGTATGTATGTATGTATGTATGCATGCATGCATGCATGCATGTGTGTGTGTGTATGTATGTATGTATATCCAGAGTTGGAACGGATGTCTTTGAAGAAATTGTGCGTCTTGCTCATACCAAAAAACAACAATTTTCGGTTGACGACGTTTCGACCCTCTTGGAAGGCCTTTTTCAAGTCATTTAAGAAGCGAACATTAAACAAAAATTGTGAGAGAAACCGTATCAATTGGAGGTGCTTTTGATTGGTTTAGGGAGAGGAACAATTGATTTGGTGTATGAGAGGTAATAAATGAGATCATAGTTGTTGTGACTAAAGCAAGAGGTCAAACAGCTCATGATGACGTCATAGAAGATGGGAATTGGTCTGTGAGCAGTTTTGTGGTGTGGCTAGACTAAATCTTGTTTGTTTGTGAGCAAAGGTGTGTGTGTGTGTGAGCGGTTGGTTGGGCAACTGGTATAGAGCCAGTGAACGGATAATTAGGTCCTGTTCGATCGATTGACGCAAAGTGGACCGCTGTTGATGAAAAATGACTCAGTAATTAAACGTTGTTTATATTGTGATGGAAGGCAGTACAAAGAGAGTCCCGGCTAGCGACCGAATCAAGAATGGGGCTCATCCGACCAGATGCGCAGACGCAGCGACGAGAGGTGCCTCGCGATACAATGTTAACCGCCACCTGAAACG